AATGTAGAGAACCCTTTGCTTTCTTAGTTCTTAGGGCAAAGGTTTTCCTGCTGCTTGATCTGTTTTTTTCCAGGAGGGAGGGGAGAGCAGGGGATTGGAGAAAACAACTCTCCTCCTCTTCTTGCATGGTTTACTTCATTAAATCATCAGCTGTAGAGCTGATAGTGTTACTTGCTAAAGTCTTGCTCTATGCTGGTGTGCTGGGGCAGCAGGGCACAGGGATGAAGATGGTTCCTGAGCATGTTGGGAATCCTGCTCTTGTCCTCCTGTGGAAATAGTACAGCTGTGTGGGGCACACAGTGAAGTGCCTGTATAGCCTGGTGCTGCTGTTGCTCCCACCAACAGAGAGCACTGGTGGTGAATTACAGCGTTAACTCCTGCTGATTGGGACACTTTGCTGTGCCGGGTGCACACTCTGCCTCAAGATTTGTGTGGGAGCTGGTGGCACTGGGCTTGGAGCACCAGTGGAAGACTGGCGTGAGCTGGGAGTCAGGCGGAGGAGATTGTTCTCGGTGCGGTAGGTGCAAAGTCCAGGCTTGCTGTGTCACCTCCTTGGTTTCTGTTGTGTTGTTGTTGGCTCCCACAGTAGATCTGGTGTGGTAACTGATGGGCTTGAACCACTGCCTGGTAGCATGGATGTGGGACCTTGTCTGGCTCTTGTGCTCCAGCTTTTTCTCTGAGCGCTTACCTGTTAGGTCTCTTTGTCCTTCTCCTGTCCTTTCTGGGAGCATGCACAGCCTTTCTGCCTGGAGGCATGCTTTATTTTTATCCTTATTTCCAAGGGGATTTCACACGCAGCTGGTTTGTTCTCTGTGTGTTTGTTTCTTTTGCCTGTTCCCATGCTGCTCGAGTGGATTAAGGCAATCTCCCTGCGTTGTTCCTGGTGAGGGGATTCTCATCTACTGTGAAACCATGCTGGCAGCGGACGGATGGCGTTTGAGTGTGCCTCCTCTGCTCTGTGAAGAAGGAGGACTGGGAACTGGCAGCTGTATGTGGCAGTGTAGTCTCCTGCAGTGTACTGGCTGTGAGGGAAAGCATGCTCAAAAGAGAAGCAAATACGGTAACCCTGTCTGGGGAATTCTGGGAATCACATGAGAGCATGAGAAGCAGCAGTAGAGAGTGTCTCATGTCCATTTTTAGGAAGTACTTAATAACAAGAGGTGTTCACAACATCCTCTTCTCAAGGTTGCACTTGCTTACATGGGAGGAATGCTTTTCACTGCTTTATAGTTGGGGAAAACACAGTAAAGGGCAACTGCTTGACATTTGTGTATGTGCAGCTATGGTCAGGGGTGAACAGCTGTGTCCTTGGTGTGCACAGGTCACGTGTGCTGTGTGTTCAACCTCTGCCACTTCTGCGGCAGACAGTGCTGCTATTGTAGGTGACAGCGCAAGACACGCTGCTTCCCTGGCGTTTATAAAGCGTAGCTTGTATCCCGATAATCGGCTTCCATGGTCACGGCATGAACTGGAGCCAACCTGCAAACCCAGAAGCCTTGACCTGCAACCCAAAGTTCTGCTGATGCTTCCTCTGTGTCCTCTTTCCCTGCCAAAGAGTTGTCACTTCTTCCTTTTCCCTCCTCCCTGGAAACTCATGTACCTCGCAAACTGGTCTTTCTGTTACTGCAGGTCTTCTTGAGCTGAAAGGATGAAAATTGGCAATTGGAATGTCACTGTCCTAAGCTTCATCCTAACTTCTGGAGTCCCAGTTGGTGTCTTTGGGTGTACGAGCCTGCGAGAGCGTCCACTGTCCCCTTCCAGGATTTAGACAGCGGCTTGGATCATGCATCATTGTAAGGTTTACACAATTCCAGCGCTGGCGGTGCCACTGTCCCTTTCCCAGTCAGTGCAAAGGGGTTAACTGCACAATGGACCTGCCTGTCTGAAATGGTCCTGAATCCCGGATCCCCTCACACCTCTTGAGTCTCTTCCTGCTCCCTCCTTTTGTGCTGGGCAGCACATCCCTGGGCTCACTCATGCCAGATCAGTCCCTGCCCTCCCCACCATCACCTGCCTTCAGCAGCGCAGCTGGCCCCTGGCTCGCCCTGCGTCTGACCTTCTCTGTCCCTTTTTGCATGCTGTGATTCCAGAGCGGGATGGTCGGCCACCGAAGCTGCAATGTCGTCCCTGACGACCTCCAGTGAGGGAGAGAACTCCACTCCCAGGTTTGTTGTCGGTTCCAGGGATGATGAGACTGACTTTCTGGGATCAAACATGAAGATGGACGAAACCGATTTCTTTGAAGACGATGAAGAGGAGGAGTCGGTAAGGAGGTCCTGGCGTTCTGGGTTGGAGCATTTGTGCAGAATTCCCGAGTCTCAGCCAGGGTTTGTGCAGTTGCTGCTGAGGCCGCAGGCAGTTGGGACTTCAGAAAACATGACACCAGGCTGTGTGGCACAACCGTCGGGAACGGCAGTGTCATTTCTGACAGGACGTATTGCGTTGTCATGCTGCCATATTCGCTGCCTCATGCTGCAGTAAGTCACAGCCTTTGTGCTTGCAGACCTTTTTCGGGTACAACAGCAGATTTCTTTGTCCTAGCAACTTAACCCTCACGCTCCTGTAAACCTTTCTGTTTCACCAGGGAAATTTTTGAGGAAAACTCTGGGATATGTGAAAAGGGCAAAGGTGTGTCTGCAGAAAGGAAGCATTTACTCTTTTCTGTAACCTCCAGGAACAGGATGCAGAAAGGAGAATGATCTCCAGCTCCTGACTGCTTTTGGCCCCTATTCAGTGTTTTATCAAATGTTACCTTTGCTGTTCTTCATGTGGGACTGGGATGCTGCAGGGACATTGCCGCTGGCTGTGCAAATTGCTGGGACCGTACACCAATGCAGTGGTTGTTTCCATTGCCTCTGTACCTGAGCCTTCATTGCAAGTGGATTGTTGACCTAGGAGCCCACATGGGCTTCCTTCAAACCCGTGCAGTGTTGTGTACCTTGATGCTTAGTGAGGAGCTATTATTGGGTGTGGTGAAGGATTTGGCAACCCTTTCACTGCCCAGATGTTGTTTTTGCTGTGGAACCTTGGCTTTCCAAGTCACTGCGGTAACTTCTAAAGTCTCAGCTTACAGTTTGAAGCCACAATTGTTTTTGCTGGGTAACCCACAGTCCTGTGTCTATCACTTCAGATGATCTCACTGCATTTAATCTTGCTTGAGACAGAATTAATCTGTCAGGAAAACACCCAGTCTGAGATTTCTAGATAGTGACGGAAAGTCCACCACAGACTGTTCCTCTGTTACGGTTATTGAAGCTTTTTAAATGCACACCTTCTCTCCTGACTCACTCAACTTAACTTTGTCCCCCTGGATCTTGTTGTACCTTTGTCAGATATATGGAAGAGCCCTTGGATACTGTTTCTCTTCTACTCATAGCGACTTACGGTTGTGATCTCCCCTTAATTTTCTCTCAGATAAGACAAACAGACTGAGCGCCTGGACTTTTTTTGCTATAAAACATTTGTGGCTCTTCTCTGAGCCTGCCTAAGTCCACCAACTGTGTTGGTGAGTTATGGGCCAGAGAACATGATGTACCAGCCTCTGGTGCTTTTTCAAGTGACAGATATTTATTTTTGACCTTTGGATTAGTGCTCAGTCAAAGGAGGAGGTATGTACTACCTGGCAAAGGATTGGTTGTTTTGGGCTCTTCCTTAATCTTGTGTCTCCCAGGGGGAGTTGGAAGCGTGTATGGGTTTGAGTCTAGCAAGAGCTGTGAGTGCATAAGGTTGGAAGAAAATCCCTTGTTTGTTCTATGTTGCTGCATTTCTACACTGTTATAGTTTAAATTCAGTGAAGTAGTTCACCATGTACTAAACTGATCTCTGTCTTCCCTTAGCCACCTGAACGGCAGATTGTGGTTGGAATCTGTGCTATGACCAAAAAGTCCAAGTCAAAGCCCATGACACAGATTCTGGAGCGTCTGTGCAAGTTTGAGTATATCACTGTGGTGATTATGGGGGAAGATGTTATTCTGAATGAACCAGTGGAGAACTGGCCCTCTTGTGACTGCCTAATATCGTTCCACTCCAAAGGTAAAGAGCTTGTGGCAGGCCTTAGCCTGTTTGAGATCTGGGCAAGGGAGCTTCCACTCATTCTCCTTCCCCCTCCCCGCCCTGTATTTCAGGATTCCCCCTGGATAAAGCAGTTGCTTATGCTAAGCTGTGCAAGCCATTTCTGATTAATGACCTTGATATGCAGTATTATATCCAGGACAGGTAGGTGTCTGTGATCCGCTAAAGCCCCTTCCCTCTTCCTTTGATTTCTCTCCCCAGCATGCTGTGCAAACTTGGTCTTCCTGGCCACAAGTAAGTGAGTAAGATGGGAAGGAAGAGGACCTTAGCAGTGGCTTTTAGGGGTTATTTCTCCCAAACATGGAGGGAAATAAATTTGGGGGTAAAACCACTAAGACTAGACACGTTTCATTTTCTGGCGCAGATGTCTTGTAAGGAATGGCTAGATGTCTCAAGGAACGAGACTGCCACGACTAAGACAAAAAGACTAGTCTCTGAGTAGGAGAGCCAAGTAGGGGCATGGGGTTCTGGAAGAGAGATTGGAGCAAGGCCAGGTCAGAGTCTGAGGAGGGTATGTTGGTCAGAGACTTCAAGAGGCTTCTCAGTCAGCTTTTGGTAGAGGCCACCAGCAGTCACATACTTCAGTGCATACATCCAGACTGCTTTGGCTGTGAATGGGTTGGGCTCATACCAGACCCCAAACCCTCTGCCATCTCTGTGGGCTGTGAGCAGTGTTCCTGTGGGTGCTGACAGGCCCCCTGGGGTATGACTCTGGTGAAAGAATTGTGGTTTCCCGACTGACACAGGATGAAGAGAGGCTCTGCTGCATCTGCCTGGCCTGGGTGTTGGGCAGCTTGGCGTCACAGGGCACCCTTTGAGAGGGCAGATCGGGGTAGCTGGTGTGTGCTGGGTGTGTTGCTGTGGCTTGAGCATGTGCTAGTAAATGAGCATCCATATTTAGACCAGGTAGAGATTTACTCCGGGACATCTCTATCCGAACTGAGGCATGCCCCATAGCCTGCGGGTCTTATCTGGAGGACAAGTGTTGAGGAGTATTTGTGCTTGGTTTTGAGACTTTTTTGTGTTCATTTGACTTTGTTCTTCATCAGTGGGAGTGAGGCCTCTCCCTTGGCACGTACTGAGGACCTTCTAGACTCTTCTGTTGATTTCCAGTGTTTCTGTCCTCTACAGGCGTGAAGTGTATCGGATCCTTCAAGAAGAGGGAATAGACTTGCCCCGCTATGCTGTGCTCAATCGAGACCCGGATAGACCAGAAGGTCAGTGTCCAGGCTCTGCTGACAGCCATTTTCACATTCTGTACTATTTGAGATATTCTGCAGAGAACAGGTACTGATAATTGGCTTGAAGAGGCCTGATTCACAAGTCTGTTGTTTTTTGCGGGTCTTCACCCAACAGCGAAACTGACTGACTGGCCAGGACTGAAGGGCTTTGGCTCTGCACTAGGGCTGTCTCACCCTTTCCTAACATGCTGCTGCTGTCATTTGTCTTCAGAGTGCAACTTGGTGGAAGGAGAGGACCACGTGGAGGTAAATGGAGCTGTTTTCCCAAAGCCATTTGTAGAGAAGCCCGTCAGTGCTGAAGACCATAACGTGTATATTTACTACCCGACATCAGCAGGTGGGGGCAGCCAGCGGCTCTTTCGGAAGGTGAGGAGGACTCTTGTTTTGGTGTTGGAGCCAACAGATCTGTGGCTCTGAGACCCTTGTGGCCTCAGGAGGGAGTGTTGGGGCAGGTGAAAGGGAAAGGAAGGTTTTGTGTTGGGGAAATCTAGACCTTCTTGGGACTTTTAGTTCAACCTCATCTACCTGGAAATTGCAGGACATGTTTCAGTGGTAGTGCTGACTTCACCTTCCCCATCCTGTTTGACCTGTGTCCTGTCTAGCAGTCATGGAGAACTCTCCCCCTTGTTTAGTTGCATGCTGTTTTTTCCATCTTACTTCCTCAGTCTATCAAGGTGATTTTAAAAAAAAACCCCTTACGTTCCTGTCCTCTTAACATCATTGTTGCCCTTCTCAGCTTAGTGTAGCTTGCAGATGTGATAAATGCAGTACTTATTCCTAGACTCCACAGGGAGTCTGCCCTTACTCACTTCCTCCACTCTGTCAGTGAACAGTTAATCGCTGTGATGCATCTTTTTTTCCAAGCAGTTACACATTTGCTATTAATAATCTTAAAAGAATTATTTCCTTAGCTAACGTACAGGCATGCCACTTGAGGCTGTATCCAAAGCCTTACTAAAAATGAAAACATTATCATCCTCTGTCCATAAGATCCATCAGCTGTCCTAGAAGGAAGTTAAATTGGTGTGATTATCACCTGTCATCATTTATTTGTCATTTGCTTATTAGCTAGGCTGCTTACTTTCTAGGTCTTTACCCACTGTTTTTTGTTCCGTGTCCTTGCAGTGATTGGAGCCAACCTAATGGTCTGTAATAACTTTCCTTCCCTTTAAAGCCTGGAGAAGGACATACCTACTGTCTGCATTTTGGAGTCTCTTTTCTCCTCCATAAATAAGTGTGCTGTAATAGCTGGGGGTTCTGAGGGGCATTCCTCTCATTCTCTACATATAGGATGAAATTTATGCTTTTTGTTCGTCCATCTAAGAAAAGGATCCTCATGCTCTTCTCTGAGGTGTTGATTCTGTGCTTTCAGATTGGCAGCCGGAGTAGTGTGTACTCACCAGAGAGCAGCGTGAGGAAGACAGGCTCGTACATTTATGAGGAGTTCATGCCTACAGATGGCACTGATGTAAAGGTAAGGAAAAGCCTGGAATAGTTCCTTCCTTCTCCAGGCCTGGGATTGCTGAAGGTTGGACAGTCCTGCTTAGATTCTGGAGTGTTTGTTTAAGCTGTGAGATGCTGACTGTGCAGCTTGGATCCCAACAGGAGGAATGCATGAGACCATCTGATCATCATCTCTCTGTATCTGCAGTAGAAGTGCCTTCTGGGAGCTGCAGTTAGTCCAGGTGGTTGTGTCAGGTGTAACTATTTCTCTTCCCAGGTGTACACTGTTGGGCCAGACTATGCTCATGCAGAGGCTCGCAAATCCCCTGCTTTGGATGGGAAGGTTGAACGGGACAGTGAAGGGAAGGAAATCCGTTACCCTGTCATGCTGACCGCCATGGAGAAACTAGTTGCCCGGAAAGTCTGTGTAGCCTTTAAGGTCTGTGTTTTCTCTCCTATGCAAGCAGGATGCTCCACAAATGTCTGTTTCAAATCTTGGTCAGTGTTAAAGCCTGAACTCTGTTACCCCGATGTGTCTCTGGTGTGGTGGTCTTCCACGCCTGACGCCAGTTGCCATCTCTGCTGGCTGGGTGCACATTTGTGTTCTATTTTACAGGTCGGTAGAGTAAGTGTGTGAGTCTAGGTATGGTTGTGTGACATGTTCAGCAATGTCAGCAGAAGCTGCATTTGGCTTCTGGTTCCTGCCCCTGCTGCAGTCTGCAACTGATGCAGTCGTGCTGATACAGTTGTGGGCTCGTTCTGCCTTGCGGCCTTTCCCACATAGTGATGAATGTCTTTTCCTGCACCACTTAATGTCTGTACGTGTCAGTCCGGTTCAAAATGGTTGGATTTGGAGGCAAGAGCAGGAGAGCTGGGAGCTGCTCTGTCTTAAGTTTTTAGAGCTCTGGGAGGTAGAGGGGCAGCCCTGACAGCTTAATCCAGGGGCCTGTGGGTCAGACCTTTGATAGATCTGTGAGTGTGTAAAGGTTCCTCTGAAGGGCCTGTTACTGCTGGCTAGTGGCTGTATTTTCACCCTTTTTCAAGCGTCACGAGGTGTGCTCAGAGTGGAGGATGGCTGCAGCACCAGCGGAGCTGAACTGGGCAGCGTATGCTGGCTGGGTCTGCGTGTGCGCCCCACTTGGCCGGGCAGCTGCCGTCCCCTCGCCGCACCCCCTCACAGTCTGCCTATGAGTCCTGTGTCCTGTGTTTCCTCGTGCAGCAAACAGTGTGTGGGTTCGACCTCCTGCGGGCAAACGGCCACTCTTTTGTTTGTGATGTGAACGGCTTCAGTTTTGTGAAGAACTCTATGAAGTATTATGATGACTGTGCCAAAATCCTTGGGTATGTATAATCCAAGTTTCGACAGTGGGTGAGATAACTCTTGGCAAAGTAAAATGAGTGTGGAGTCCTGATCAGTATGTCGGGGAAGTCTGCAGGTGGTTCATATGGGGACATATGTTCAACAGGTGAAAGTTTTGCTCTGGGAGGAATGGGCTCATTATTTTTAGCCCCTGGAGCTCCTGCCTGCCTTGGCATTTGCTGTCTTTGTCTACAGCTAGATGTATCTCACAGGACTTTTCACTGGATGCTAAGTCCAGCTGTGCAGTATTGGTGAAGTGAGGGAAATTGGGGTGCCCGAACTAGCCCATGGTGTGATAGATGTCTCTGTGAGGAAGGTGAGGAGAAATTCTATGGCCCTCTTTAAATCTTTCAGCTGGATCACTAAGGAGGAGGTGGAGAGCCAAGGGAATGGTATTTCTGTTGAGTTTTGTATTCTAATTTCTTCCAGAAATATAATTATGCGGGAATTGGCTCCCCAGTTTCATATCCCCTGGTCCATCCCAACAGAGGCTGAAGACATTCCCATTGTCCCCACAACTTCAGGCACCATGTGAGTACCTGCCATCTTCTCAAAAGAGTGCTGGTGGTGGCTACATGAGGGACAAAGTGCAAACCCTGTCCAAGGAACAGGCATCACCCAGTAGCATGCAGTTCTCCAGCTGTGCTGTTGGTTGCAACCCAGAAATACCTGTGGAAAGGCTTAGCCATGTACACGAAAAGGGTGATAGCTGGTAAACTAGTCATAGGTTTGATGAACGCAGACGAGCAGTCATTGAAGCAATTACAGAAACTGCTCACGTGGCTTTCAGAAGGCCCAAATTCTTGATCACCACAGGAAACTGATTAGGGCATGTAGCTGACTCGGTGCTGTGAGAAAATGCATGTTGAGCTGCCAGTGAAATGGGTGGAAAACAATTAGCTGAAGTACTCATGTTACCTGTACTCTTGGCAGACCCTCATTTGATACTGTTGGCCTTAATAGTTTTCCATGACATAAGGCTAAAAGACCAAAGGCAAAATTTTCTTTGTGATCCTCGGCACACTTGTACACTTGTATGAAGTGAACAAAGTAGGTGCTGCAGAAAAGTCAGATTGAGAGTATGTATTCATCCTGCCTTTACCCTGTGATCATCTGGAAAAAGCTGGCAAACAGACAGTGCACAGCTCACGGGACTGCTGGCTTCAATGATGCCTTGTGACAATGAGACTGATAGAATTGATCCCCATTTCTCTGGGATCCTGTAAGTAATAGTTGGATCTTATAGTATCTGAAAAAGCAAACTCATGTAGCCTTTCCAAAATGAGCCAGCCTAACCACTGGTTCCTGCAGGTGGGATCTTTCTGTGTACAGCTCTTATTGATTGCTCAAAGACAGGACCCCAGCTGCAGCTGTGTGACCATTCTTCTGAACCAGGTTGTTTTTTCCTGGGTCTTTCTAAGTGGTCCTATGAGCATGACACAAGTTGGGCATGAAAACAAGCTTGGCACAATTCAAAATGCTGTTTCTGCAGATTCTGTACCATCCAGCCTGGTCCTTTCTGCTGCGGATGTGGTTCTGCCTGTCATATTGTGGTACTGTGGTGCTTTTCCCTGATAGGAAGCCAGATGACCTGGTAGTGTCTGCAGTACTTTGATTGCTTTTACAGCCTTGGCCCTTGTGCCTGGTTTAGTCTGGGAGAAGCTCTGCCACTGATGAGGAAAGCAGCTGTCAAAAGGATGGAACTGAAAGAACAATGGGAAACTACTTTCTGGTGGCAGTTCTGGAGTGTAGGGGCACATTTGTCAGATGTATCTTGTGTTTCTCCAGGATGGAACTTCGTTGTGTTATTGCAGTCATCCGGCACGGAGATCGCACACCAAAGCAGAAGATGAAGATGGAAGTTAAGCACGCCCGGTAAGAGTCAAGGCAAGAAGATGCTGTGCTGCTGGGAAGGCAGGAGGGCCCGTTTTCTGAATCCAGAGGAGGAGCAGAAGGGCTGAGTGTGTGGGAGGCAGTGCTTTTTACTGACTCCATTCCATCAAATGCTTTCTGCCCAGTTGAGGGAGCCCCCTTTCCCCATAAGGATCCTGATACCTTCTGTGTGGACACTGGAAGAAAGAGTGGAGGTCTGATAGGTGCTACAAAGGGAAGTGCCCCACAAAATGGGAAGCTAGTGACTACTTCCTTTTTGTACCTGCGTCTGAAACACTTTTTTTTAGAATTTCTGAAGCACAGAAATGAGCCAGAAGGCCTGCTGGTTCTCCCTGAAGAACAGAGTGTGAATGCATATGTAGGGATGACAGTCCTTGAAATAGCAGAAAATGGATCCTGGTTTTTGTTGTCTGTTTAGGTTCTTTCACTTATTTGAGAAATATGATGGCTACAAGACAGGGAAGTTGAAGCTGAAGAAACCAGAGCAGCTACAGGTGAGGAGAGTCCTCTCTGAGGTTACTGCGTGGGAGATGCAGGTAATACAGATCCCAGTGTGAGGCAATTCTTTGGGAGGGTGGAAACCCTCAAAAGAGCAACTGTCTGTCACACAGATGCTCCCGTTCTTGTTCCCCCACCCCATGCGTGCTCAGCAGGGTGACAGCAGGAGAGTGGAGTGGAAACTGTTCCTGGCTGATGTGAAGTCTGTAGGATGGAGATGATCTGGTGCAGCTTACCCATCTGTTGTGGTTGTGTCTGGAGAAAGATGAGTCCACACTAGGGAGTGGGGCAGTTGGAGGCACCTGCTTGGTTCTGAACGGGGCTGGTGCACGGGGTGAGGTTGGCACAAACTGCAGTGTGAAGTTTGTCCTGCCTGAGTTGTGTCTTACGAGATTGTGTCTCTGAGTGTGTATGTGGAGCTGATGCTGGGTGAAGCCATCTGGAGACCTTGCAAGAGTACAGTGTCTGAGGCAGAATTGCTGGGTCCTTGAGACTCTCTGCTCTCCTACAGGAAGTGCTGGACATTGCTCGGCAGCTTGTGGTGGAACTGGGAACCCACAGTGATTGTGAGATTGAGGAGAGGAAATCCAAACTGGAACAGCTGAAGAGCGACTTGGGGATGTAAGAGGTCATATCCTGGGGCACCATGAGTTTGTCTCAGAGCTGCGGGTCAGCATGCAATGTGGAAATAAGCTGTGCTGTTGGTGTCCTGGCCAGCTGGCTCCCCAGAGGTCAGAGTCTCCTCCATCCCCTCTTAGCATCTCTACATGAAAGGTGCCATGCTCTTAATGTTTTCTCCTTGGCATCAAAACCACTGATGATTCTTGATACAAGTGTGTCTGTGTTTTGGTTAAACAGTTTGAGACAAAACTGAGCTTCCTTTGCTGCGGGAGGGGAACTGGAGTCCTGTATGGACCACATTGATATGAATAATTTTGATAAATTTGGAACAAACCTTGTTTTAAATAAGGCTGTTCTGTTGCCAGAAGTTTAACAAAAAGGAGCTTGGAAAACATGAAAAGATGTTTGTGTCCCCTTGGGTTTCGTACAGCAGCGATAAAATACAATATGGTGGTGTTGGCATCTTAGAAACGAAAGGAGGGTTTCTCTCAGAACCGTAGTTCACTGTGGCGTGCACAGGCAGTGTCTGTGGATGAATTTTTGCCATGAACCCTTCCCCTGCTCTTTCTGCTCATTAGAGATGTGATTATCCTTAGAGTAGCTGTCAGGTTGTTTGGTTTGTTTGTTGTTTTTTTCTTTTTCTGTGATCCCATTAATTCACTTGTTAAAGATGTAGATAGAAATTAACTAAGTTTGATTAAAGCCCCAGTGGGCTATGAGAGCACAGAGTACTGTCAGCTGAAGAGCAGGCAAGTAAATGGATCTTTGAATTTCATTTGGTGGGGTTTGGTTTTTTTTGGGAGTGTGTGCCAAGTAACAGATAGCTGGCAAAAATGTTCATGTTCCTTGGCAATTGGTCTTGCAGCCGAAAGTCTCCTGCCTGTGCTGTATTTATGCTGTGTGCTGCCTAAGGACCTCTGGGCAAAGGGTGGGGAAAGTTAATTTGGTTTTTTCCTCCCTCTCCTTGTGACAGGTATGGACATTTTTCTGGCATTAACCGTAAGGTGCAGTTGACCTATCTGCCTCATGGACATCCAAAAGCTGCAAGTGAAGATGAAGGTAAAGAAACCTGATGTTGCTGCCATGAGCTTAAAGCCTGGTGTTCAAGAGTGTGTGCAGCCATCCTACCCTATATAGACCTCTGGACATGCAAGCGAAGTGACCCTTATCTTATCTTTGCTCATATCATATGAAGGGTTGGAGTGATAAATAATATAGTACCAGTATACCTGGGATGGTGCCACAGGGCTTATGAGTCTGCTCTCATGAATTTCAGCCTACACCTTCAGAAAGTAGTGACTCTTAATTTCGTACTTGCTGGTTTAGTTCCTGGGGATTTTGGGTCAGGCTTGTGTTGAAAATGCTTTGCAAGGTGTTGATGACAACCACTTCTTCCTCCCCTCCTCTCCCCCTGCAAGCTCACCTTTGACATCTGATGTAGTGAGTACCTGTTTGTTTCCTAGAAGCTCACCGAGAGTCTTCCCCGTCCCTTCTCCTGGTGCTTAAGTGGGGTGGAGAGCTGACACCAGCTGGAAGAGTCCAGGCAGAAGAACTGGGGCGAGCCTTTCGCTGTATGTACCCTGGTGGCCAAGGTAAGCTTTCCAAAAGGTGAGAAAATGGGGTGCATGTGGTGTTGCTTACTGCAAAGTGCCAGTAAGTAGAGCAGACTGTCAGTGCACGGGGAGTACAGGGGAGGAGGAGTGGTAGTGGACAAAAGATCATAACAAGGCCTGTGTGCCATTCTTGAAGATTGGCATGGTGAGTTAGAAAGGCTGGGGACTCACTGGTGCTGTTGTGGATCTCTGAAGCCCAGAGCTGAGAGAATCAGCCACTGACATGGACAAGAGACTGGGGAGACCAGAAGACAGTGTGCAGCAGAGGCAATTCCAGTGGAAATACAGGGAGTAGATTGCAGCGTAATGAGCGAAAACCTGAGAGGAGAGACCTGTGCAGAGCTCTGGTCAAGTGGAGTGCAGTTACCAGCAAGCTGGGCTGAGCCCTCGGTGTGGTCTACACCAGTTCTGAGCTGACTGCTCTTTATCTGGTGAGCACTGAGTGGCTGCCCTCTTGCTCACCATTGAGCTCAGTCTGAGCATGTACAAGGTGACTTCAGTCCTTCTGAATCATGGCTTTGGAGACTTACGCATCACGAGGTCATTCATGGAGAGAGGGGGACCTTATTTTGCAGTGAGATGCTGTGTTACAGTTCCTGGGTAGCAGTTGGTACGTGGCAGCTTTGTCCAGATATACAGCTGACTTCTGGCTGGTGTCTGTCCTTGTTCAGCAGAGTTTTTCTCTGAGTTGTGAGCTCAAAGCTGGGAGCAGTTTTCCCATCTTTTCATGCAGTGTGACTGGGTACTGTGCAAAATCGTCGTAGGATTCCAGGCAGCAGCAAATTAGTCACCGCTGCACTGTCTTTGGAGGGTCAGACGCAAGAGCTGCACGAGTTGCTTTCTTCCGTTACTGATCTGACTCCTGTGGCTGACTCAGCCGGCATAAATAAACTGGATTTTGTGCCGCAAGATAATTGTAGCTCTACAGGACGTGCTCTGGAAGCCACGTGCCTCCCTACTGAATAGCTCTGCCTGCAGTTCTGATGGCAGCAGAACCTGCTCTTGTGCAGAGAACGAGTAGGAGAAGGCAGGGGTTTTTTGTGTATCTTTATTCTACGCAGGAGTATTCAGTTTAGCCAAACAATTACAGACTGTTCAGAGAGAGCTGCTGCAGACTTTGGGCAACATCAGACTTGACTGGTGAATGTTAACTTTTTTCCTCAAAATGAACTTTCCCAAGTTAAGCAAAGCCATCATGTATGGTGAGAACTGTCTGTTTTGGAGCAGCCTAAAGGCTGGCTATGAAAGTGATTAATTCTCTACATAACTTTGTTACTACAATAAAGTTTGTTGTCTAAAGCAGTGTATTCTGCTGATAGTTTTGCAGGTGTCAGAATATTAATTTTGAATTGGTTCTCTGTTACAGGTGATTACGCTGGTTTCCCTGGATGTGGCTTGCTCAGGCTGCACAGCACCTACCGTCATGATCTCAAGATCTATGCCTCAGATGAGGGACGAGTTCAGATGACAGCAGCAGCTTTTGCAAAGGTCCTTCCTCTCCTTTGGGCATCTGTTAGTTCTGCTATATTAGTCTTGGAATATGCCAGTTCTAAAGGAAAGCTTCTGGTGATGAGGAAGGAGATGTCTCAGGAGCTTCCCCCTCTCTGTTGGGAGGACGGTGGTACAATATGCTAATAGCGAATGTTTGGGGCGGTAGTGGAAATCCAGTGTAGCTGCACATGTACATTACCTTTAGTATCCTGTCCCAGATAGGACTGTGACCAGAGAAGGAATTACATGGGGTATTGCTGGTGTTCGATGTTAGAGCACATCAAAATTGTTGCTGAGTATTAATTGCCTACAAAATGAGTTTCTTGGATGACTGCCCAGCCAGAGGGGTTTTTCCCTGACTGCTGGATTTAAAAGGGGAATGAAATGTCTTTGATGCAGTGTGGAGTGGGGGTTGGGGAGAAGACAGGTTCATCTGCAATTAAAGCTTGAGCCAAGGGAAATCAAGTGGTGACCTTGGATGTTCTTCAGAGCCTCTGCTGTATCAATGTTTTCCAGCAAACTGAATTGGCTGCTCAACAATTGCCCAGACAAATCTGGGGCTGCTGCAGGCAGAGCTGGCCTTTTGCTTCAGATAGCTCTAGAAACATGCCAGAGTCACTAGTGACTGTAGGTGCTGTTGCTGTAAAAGTGCTCTTCAAGGACAGTTGAGATTTCAGTCAAGCTGACTGAAGGCTGGCCGTGAAACTACCAGAAATGTATGTTGCTGGGGTTGCACATAACAGAAATCTTGTCCTGTGTTGCTTTAGGGTCTGCTGGCCCTCGAAGGAGAGCTGACCCCCATCCTGGTGCAAATGGTGAAAAGTGCCAATATGAACGGTCTCCTGGACAGTGACAGTGATTCCCTTAGCAGCTGTCAACACAGAGTGAAGGCACGACTGCATGAAATTATGCAGAAGGATGCTGAGTTCTGTGAAGAGGATTATGAAAAGGTAAGGCACCTATGTGGCTTTATTGCTTCCTGTGTCTGGAAGGAGAACAGCATTGCTCCAGTGGTTTGATGTGAAGACTGCTTCTATGTGAACAGTAGTTTTGTAGTCTGAGATCAATGCTGGTCAAAGTTACAGGATATAAACAGAACTTAGGAAGGGAGAGGGAAGCTTTTTGGGAGGGTAATATCCCCTGCCCTTCTCCAAGTGAAAATCCACAGTGTTGCTCCACTGTTCCCTTCAAGGACCATCATGGTACCTTCCTCTCCCTTTAGAAATCCCAATGCATTTTATTCTCGTGGGTGTGTTGAAAGAATAGTTCTTGTGGTTTTACAGCATGCTGCCCAGAACAATCCCAGTTGTGGTGGACAGAGAGTATACCTTGCCAGATTCTAGATCTGTGCATGTGTGAACAGATCTTTTGGATATAAACCTTTTTGTGGTCCTACTGGTGTCTGATAACTGCAGAGCAGAGAGCGTGGGCTGCATCCAGCACAGCAGCCCATAAAAGAACTGTAGCTGCTTCTCTGACAAGTACCCAAAACACTGTTTTCCCAGACTCTGAGATCTGATTGCTGGACTGAAATCCATTACCATTAAGGAACGCATTTATCACCTCAAAGAACTACTTAAAACTCCTACAAAGTCCTCTGCTCAAGCACAGAAGCAAAGCGAGACAACAGTGAATACTATAGGTAGAGGGAGGTCTGATCCCTCTGAGTTTAGTCCTGAGGAAGTTTTTAAAACATGCCTAACTACCCCTAGGAATAGACCAGCTTATTATGCTCAGCTAGGAGCACAACTTTTGTACCTAATCAGAAAGAGGTACAGCTGCAAAAAGCAGACATTCTGTGTTCTGTTCTGAGTTTTTAAAGCTACTAACTAATCTCTACTGGTATCTTCTCTCAGCTAGCACCTACAGGCAGTGCTTCTCTGCTCAATTCCATGACATTTATCCAGAACCCAGTAGAGGTCTGTAATCAGGTGTTCACCTTGATTGAGAATCTCACATCCCAGATACAAAAACGTCTGGAAGACCCAAAATCTGCAGGTGAGCATCAGAACTGGAAAGGGTCTGAAGCAGATTCATTTATTGTTACATCTTCAGAGCCCCCAACCACCACTATGGTTTATGTTTATGTTTGTAGCAAAGAAATTCTAAAGTGAAGTTCTGTATGTGCTATTGATGTAGAAGGCTCCTATTCCACTTTCAACTACTGTTAAAGAAAGCTGTAATGTAAAGGAGAAGATAGGTGCACCTGGGCTTTAGAGTGAATGTGAACAGCAGCACCATAGCCTGGACAGATATGCCTGATTTTTTCAAGCATTTTCTCGCAGGGAACTCAATCCTATAAACAGCAAGTTTTTCAGTCACTGTTCGCTCATCTCTAGGAACTTTTCCTAATAACAGTGCAGGGGTTTTAAAAAGGCATTTGTGGGACATGTCACATGATTTATAGCAGACATAAGCCAACAGGCAAGCAGTTTCCATTTTCTCAAGTGTTTTGGAAGTAGCTTATTGCTGCAGGTTAAAACTTTGTGCAACAGATGCAGTGGCTTTTCCAGTCTAAAATTCCTGTGGGTCACATAATAATCAGAGCCCTTCTGTGCTGGGAGAAATCAGGGGTCTGTGTAAAAGTAGTCAGGATGTGAATGTGGTTTGGTGTTCTCTGCTGTTCAGACCTGCAGCTGTACCACAGTGAGACTTTAGAACTGATGCTGCAACGCTGGAGTAAGCTGGAGCGAGATTTCCGCATGAAGAATGGGCGTTACGACATCAGCAAGATCCCTGATATCTATGACTGCATCAAGTATGATGTACAACACAACTGTGCACTGAAGCTGGAAGGCACAGCTGAACTCTTCAAACTCTCCAAAGCCCTGGCAGATGTGATCATACCCCAGGTACAGCCTGTCCTACCTGTGTGGCTATGTCTGTGGTGTCATTTTCTGACCCTTTCCCTGTTTCTTCTCGATTCTCTTGCACGTTAACTCTCAAGGCAGAGTATCTGGTATTTCTCAGATACATCTCTTAGTGTTTGTATAAGGGCTTGCTTCCTGGATGAGGATTCTGACAGCGTCAGAATAATGAACAGCTGGCACAGCAGCTTTTCCATGTTCATCGTAGTGCATTATAGCACAGCTTCCAGCTGTGTGTGTGTGCTGTAGCAACATCCTGTTCTCCACATACAAGATTGTACAGGGGAAGAGAGATTTGTTCTGGTGGGTTTGTTATTCTTGTCAGACTAGAACTTGTTCAGTTTGCAAATTTGGCTTGCTTCTCACAAAGTTTATACCCTGAACCTGGGAGGGGAAAGGAGGGCCACACACAATGGATCTCTGTATTCACTGTTGTTCTGTCACACTTCTGGCAGAAATGCTTTGTTTATGTGGGATGAGCTTCTACCAGCAAGGTCCAGTCGCACTTGTGCCTGTGTAGAGCAGAAGTGGTCTTCTAAACTTTTTCAGTGTTCCTGATGAGAATAGCAGTTTGGCTGTTTCCAGCACAGCACTTCAAGTGTTATCTTTGCAAGTAACAGTTGTTGCATTAATGCTCATGCCAGGTCAGGGTATAAGTTTGTGTGTTGTGAGAGGAGATTCTGTGACGGTACTTGTGCCTCTCAGCTGTTGGAAGATTACTGACAGTCATGTCTAGACAGATGGGGATTCTTGGAGGGGTCTCTGTCTGTTACCCTCTGAAATGTGTGGAGGACAAAAAAAAAAAGAGGTACTGAGTGACATTTCTCTTTCTGTCCTTGCTTAACTGTAGGGGTGCTTGCAGACAGGACTGTTGGGTCTCCTTTCATGTGAGGATGTGGCAAAGAGCCAGGGCTCAAGGGTATCTATTGTTTTGTTCCTGCAGGAATATGGGATTAATAAGGAGGAGAAACTGGAGATTGCTATTGGCTTTTGTCTTCCTCTCGTTAAAAAGATCCAGTTGGACCTGCAGAGAACTCATGAAGATGAGTCTGTCAACAAGCTACACCCCTTGTAAGGATTGTGCTGCATGCTGCTGCTGGTGGGGAGGGCAGCTTTGGAGCAGTGTGTGGGACCCACACCAGAAGAGTGTACTGGTGTGGAAGGAGTCGCTGAACGTACACTGAAGGACACACAAAGAGGGAGGCATGTTTGTGCTCCTAGAACTGGAAGGGAAATGGAAAGGCACATTGAGATTGCTGAGTGGGAGCGTGGTGCCACAGAACCTTAAACCCATTGTAGTTGGATGGTGGTGCCTTCATCCCTGTCTCTGCAAGGAGCAAGTGCTAGTATGATGAGGCCACCTCTGCCCCACCATGTGTCTCCATTAGGATACCACAAAACTTGCTGCTTCTGTGCCCAGTGCTCTCACTGTTTGTTCTGTTCCTTCTGCTCTTTGACAGTTCCTTGTTCTGTTAAGTGTGCAGAAATGCTGCTGTGTGATAGATGGCAATTCATTGGCAGGCTCTGAGTAACACTGGGCTGATTTTGGTTTAGGTACTCAAGAGGAGTTCTGTCACCTGGTCGCCACGTTCGGACACGTCTCTACTTCACCAGTGAGAGCCATGTGCACTCTCTGCTCAGTATCTTCCGCTATGGGGGGCTCCTGGATGTAAGTGTCCCAGCAATGCTCACAGAGTAAGCCTCCCTGCTTTTTTTCAGTGACCCTTTCCACGGTGGACCATGTATGTTTGTAGGTTGCCCCCCTAGCCAGCTCCCCCAGGAATGATGTGTATCGGGATGGCAGACTCCATCTCTGCTGTGTTTGCATGCTGCAGCTTCCTGCCTTTCTGGCATGTAGGAGGATTGTTCTTCCTCAGCCCTGATGCTGCCTGCCTTGCTTGTACAGAGGCATGCTTTCTCCAAGAGCTGTCCTGCTGGTTTCAGATGAGGAGACCACCTACCTGTGTAGGAGGATAGCAGTATGAGGCAATGGCGATGAGGGAATTTCTCTCTTCCTGCTTCCTTCAACCCTTTATTTCAATAGCTTGGCCCTATTATTAGTGACTTTCTGTCAATTCTAAGTAAAAAAAATCAATTTGCTTACAGAGGAAGTGACTTGAGGTCGCAATTGTAAGGGGTACTCTCTACCAGAGGGACAGATTACACATTTTTAGGGGACTAACTCATCCGATTCAACCTTCACTTGCTCTCATAACCTGCCTCCTGAAGGAATTGGCATGCAGACTCTGAGAAAAGCTCTGCTTTAGACTTCTTGAGAGGCTCTTTGATTTATCTTCCCATTTTTAAGCATGGTGTTCTGAAATGCCTTGCTTAGCAGGCAGGATTTCTGATGTCTGTGGAAGCTCAGTGTATCTGTAGGCAGTGATTATGCAAGTACTTCTGATTCGCTCACTGAATAAGATGCTACTTTATTCCCCAACTTGAGTGTCAGAGGATGCTTTGTTGCCAGCGCAGGGATATTAGACTGCATCTGGGTTCCTCTGTACTCATGGGGTTCACTTCCTGTCCATCAAGGTGGTGAGATGCTCCACAGCAGTATGAGTGGCACTTCAGGTGCAGCCATTCCCTAGCAGTGAGGGGTGGGCTGCCCTGCCTTGCGGGGGCCAAGGGTCCAGCGAGGCTCTGTAGACTTTCCGTTCAGCGTTGTGTAAAAGCAGCTTCACTTGGTCCCTTATTGAGCACAAGTTCATCCCCTGGGACTTTTTTGATATTTCATTAAAATATTCCATGCTGTAGGCCACTTTTTGAGAATGACTGTGTTTGGGAACCTGCTGTGGGTCATGCTCTCCTCCAGTCAGCATGGCACAGGGGGCTTGCAGCTGGATGTGCTCAGATCCGCACGTGGATTGTACGGGCAGCTGTAGTGTCCCTCTATGCAGTTGCTCCTTACTGTAAGCACCCTGCGCTCATTGCAAGGTCATCTCTCTTCATACGAGTGAAGCAAGGTGTTTCTTGTCCTGACAATGTTGTTATTTGTGGAGAGACAAACCCTCTCAGACCCATTTCACTGAATGCTGCAAGGTGTCTGCTGTTGCTTATTCCATGCGACTGTTTATGTGTATATATCAGGAAAACAAAGACCAGCAGTGGAAGAGAGCCATGGACTATTTGAGTGCTATCTCAGAGCTGAACTACATGACCCAGATTGTTATCATGCTCTACGAGGACAACAACAAGGTGAGGGATATAGCTGTAGGATAAAATCCTTCCTGTCATGATGCAAGGCACAGTCCCCAAGAGATGAGTTCAGCTGGGAAGTCTGTAACCTCAGCTTTCTCTGCTTGTGAATAAAGGTGGACGGATCATTAACACAACTGCTAGTTTTTAATTTTCAGGTGGGAGGCAGTGACCCAGTTAATGCTTATGACGTGTAAGTGGAATGCCACCCTGAGCAGTAATAGCAAACTTAAGTAATCAGATACTATCTATTTTAAAGCATGTCCTAATGCAAAATAATTAACTGTTTCTTAATTACAAATGAACAGTACGAAAAAATAAATAAAATGAAATTATATTTGGCAGGTTTTTCCAAATATGTTTATATTGGTTCCACATTTGTAAACATTTTTAATTTTAAAAATACACTGATATAGTTAGGGAAGTATATACTGATATTTTCATGAAGCAAAGAGAATAATTTAAAAAACAGTCAGAATGTGGAAGCTGATGATGATGACTGTAAGTTGGTTTGTCACCAAATTGAATCCCAGGTCCTGTGACTGCAGGAGGTTGTAGTGGGTGAGGGGAGCAGTCCCTTTGCTCCATACGCTATAGAGTTAGAATCTTGTATTCACAGAGCTGATGTGGGGTTCTAATGGTAGAAGTGAAATATTTCCTAGTGCTGTTTGTCAAAGAAAAAAAAAAAGTCCACATAGAGTTATCAGGAGCAGTGTAAATCTGTTAGTAAGTAGAGGTGGTAAAACTTTTAGTTTTACATCATAAGTGCCAGATACTGTAAAAGTTGTAGCTTCCTTTAAAGAAAAAAATAAAAAATTAATATTAGAGACAGTTACTTAAATCTTGGAACAACCCGACTAGAGGTCCAGGAAGGAACCAACTTTTCCCTGCCCCAGTGTGTGCTGGTTTTGCAACAGGAGTGGATCAGAAGGGGCTATGTTTTAGGTTTGTGTGTGTATATATATATATATACACGCACATATAGCCTAATTCTGCTTTGGTCCTCTGGTCGCTGTTGTCACAAAATAACAACAATTTGAATGCCTCAGCTTTGTGCTAATAAGGGCTGTCCTTTTGGATGAGACAAACCTAGAGCCATTACGTTTGTGGTTTCTTGTTGCTTCTGCTTTCCTCCCAAAAGGATGTGCTTGGGATGTGTGCTGCACTGGCATGATAGGGTGGCCCAGGTCCAGACCATGGCCTGTGCTGCCAGTGGGACTGATTTTTATTTATTTACTTATCCCCTGTGTCTTGTGTTCACAGGACCCCTCTTCTGAAGAGCGTTTCCATGTGGAGCTGCATTTCAGCCCTGGCGTGAAGGGCTGCGAGGAAGACAGAAACGTGCCCACGGGGTTTGGCTTTCGACCTGCCTCCGCGGAGGTGAGCACACTGCCTGGGCAGGGACATGGGCTGCCCTGCCCGCTGCGGACGTGGCGAGGCGAGTGTGGGCCCACCAGGCACCTTGCTGCTCTGCCAGGCTCTGCCGCTGTCCAGTCTCCAGCAGCAGATTTTCCTCTGACCTTTCCCTCATGCCTGCGTGCTGTTAGCCGGTTACGTTCCCTGCCTAACCCCGAGGGTTTGTCAGGGCAGGCTCTGAGCTTGTCTGGTGTCCTCCTGAGCTCGGCAGAGCTGGGAGACCCCAGGCTGGAGTCAGTGCCTGGGCAGTGCTTGCGAAGGCCACGTGCCTGTAGGCGTCAATGTTTCCTTACTGCAGAATGAGGACAAGAAAGCAGACCAAGGCAGCCTGGAGGACCTCTCCAAAGAGAAGGGCATCGATGAGCCAGACCGTGCGCAGCAAAGGTCTCCGCACGCTTCTGAGCTGGTCAGCATTCATCGAAGATCACCGCTGATCAGGAACCGGAAGACAGGGTCCATGGAGGTAACAATGTGATGGGTGCCCTTGGTTGTTCTAATGAAGGTCTTTTAATTGGTTTTGGTTTCCTGGCATTCCTTTTAATGTGCTAGAGTCTGGGTTGATTCTGGGAAAGGAACTGCAGAAGTTAAAGAGGGATTTTTTTGGAAGGTAGACCTCCCAAACTCCTCCTCATTGAGGAAGGACAGAGGGAACACAGGTCAGAGGTATAGATGAGGAAAAGCAAGGAAATGCTTGAGAAACACAAAGATTATTTGGATTACGTGCTTAACCAGCAATGAGACTGCATGTGAGTACTGTATGCTTATTGAAAATTGGGATTTTTAAGGAAGGGACATACTTTTCTTTACCTTCAATTCATGTAGAAAGGCTTTTGAGACCAGTGAGTAACTTAGAGCACAACACTGATTATACTATCTGTTTTTTCAGGTGCTATCTGAATCTTCTTCCAAATCAGGAGGTTATCGTCTCTTCAGCACTTACTCCAGGCAGTCTTCTGAGATGAAGCAAAGTGGCTTAGGTACTGTACTTGACCTGTAACCAGCCTGCTGACCTGTACCTCTGTATTTCTGTGGGCATCTGTCTGTCTCTCCACATGTACATCTGGCTTAAGTTCCTTCTATGTCTCTGTGTGTATTGTGTCTTTTTTTAGTGTTAATGTTTAGACCACTGTAGAGACTATCTTATTGTATTTCCTTTTGTGTATGATCTTCTCCTTCAACTTCTAGCAACAGAAGATGCACTTTTCATCCTTTGTAGTATGGGAGCAACAAAGCACGCTGCGTACTTGCAGGTTGGCCTTCTGGTTCCATGTTGCTATCATTTGTTATACCTTTTTCTGAACTTAGTAGGAAGATATGATTTTACACAAGAACTAGTGTGCTTTCTGTTCTTCAAAACAGTAGTTACATGCAAAACTGCTCTTCATGTAAGACTATTATATTTCTACATTTGCTTCATAAAGATCACTTGTATGGAACAGATCTGTCATCTGCAACAGTGTTTGACAGCTCTCTAGTTGTGTTGGAATCCCTGGTTAGCCATTCTTTCCATGGCAGCCAGTGGAAGAGGCTATTTTGGGGTACCTGGTGTTCTCTGCCTGTCCTTGAGAGTACCATTCCCTGTCATCCTAACCTAAGCTGCGTCTTAATAGTTGGAATTCTTCCCAAAATATTTTTGCTAAGGCAGGTTCTATTTGGAAACTGAAAAACTGTCTTTGCTGTCAAGAGATTCAAAGATAGCTGTGAAACCTAGATCTTGCAGATGACTAATAAGCATGAGGAGGTGGAAATGCCCAAGCTATGCCCACTTCCTCTTTTTCTTTAAAACTATTTTTGCATTATGGCATGGCTGTAGACTTGCAGCAGTTCTGACTCATCAGTTCTTTACTCTGTTATGTGGACATCCTGCAGACAAGAGGTTTCTGAAAGGCCTGATCATTCCTCTGTCAGCTTTTGAATGAGCTGCTGCTTTGGAAGCTAATTCTTCCAAGTAAAGGGAATTTTCTCCAGAGTGGTTAGGAAGCATCCCTGGAGTCTGCCAGCTATGCTCCCAGCCAAATGGAAAAATCTAAGAAGGAATGGCTGATGCATATTATTTTCATAAAGGCACAGTGACCTTGGCCATAGTAGTTTTTGAATGTCCTATTTCATGCGGTGCATCTACTTCTGCCTTTCACAGACCACCTGCAGGATTAGGTAAGCTGTAATAGACTGCCTTTCTTAGGCTGGAAGAAACCTGTGGTTACTCTGTGAATCAATATGAGAATTTCCGAGATGGCACACAGTCAAGGAAGTGCATCTGCTTGGAGAATTACTGAGCACATGCAAACTCCTGTTTGGATGTCTGAGTACCAGAAGGCATTTGCTCTGGAAAGCAGATATTACAGCCTGTTTACTAGAGCCTTTTCTGGGTTTCTGAGGAATGTCTTTTTTTGGCAGTAGAGAAGACTCTACTTAACTGAACCCTTGCACAGTACTACTTTTTCTTGACAACAGAATTTGAAATGTCTACCCAGCAACTTTAATTTCAGGCTCTTGCCTGACTTGCCTTGCTGGGAAGCCTGTGCTGGTCACTCTCCCAGCTGTGAAGCTCAGCAGAGACAAAACTTTGAGTAGGAATTGATAGACGTGATCTGTGACAGTAGACCTCTAGCTGGATACTCAGTCCAGCCATTGTTCTTCTCTACAGAGTCTTGCAACTGCAGGCAGGAGAGACCTGTGGTGCAACACCACCTTGCACAATCCCTGGTTGTTAGGGTGTCTGTGTTGTTGTGAAGTTCTCTTAACCAGAGAACTGTTAAGAAGAATGATGCCTCTTTACCTGTAAAAGTCAAACTCTTCAAGGAATCTTCCTGATTCCTTTCCTTCTTGTTTCGTAGAAATCTAACTTCTTCCCCCTTTAGGGTCTGAAATGTGCTCTCTCTGTGAGAACTAATATAGGACTCATGGGATCTTGAACTTTGGCTTTAATATTTGTCTCAGCAGCTGTGCTATGAGAGGGTTAATTGAGATACTACCTACTGTTTCTGAGCCTTTCTGAAGTTGAGCCTGTCTCCTGTTGCCTGGCCTTGTCAGTGGCTGGCTCTTGATATCTCTGGGGGAATGGATTCTCCAGAAGAATGTCTGTTCAGGTCTAACCTTGTACGTTTCAGCATGCAGGAATGGGGAGCAGGACAGAGCTCCTACAATTACCCTGCTGCTGCCATACCTGCCAGAATTGTGTCGTTACTGTAATTTTAAAAACACCTTGAAATGTCTGTTTGGAAAAGGGTCGGGCTGCCGCTTGCTTTGTCTGTGCAAAGTGGTGCTTTGGAGTACGCCGTGTTTGTCTGGGCAAGAGGAAGTGCATTACTGTGGATTACACTGCAGTGTGCGCTGCAATAGTGTGTATGTTTGGAGCTTGAGAAGCCTGGGGAAGTTTCAGTGCCTTTCTTTGCTTGCAAGAACAAATCAAAATGGGGTAAAATCACTCCTTGCTGTTGGAGGAATAGAAGTGTTGTATTGCTGGTGGGCATGAAGCTTTGTGCTGAGACTCCCCTAGGGAAATAAGGGATGTCCATTTTTTAAACATCTGAAACATTGAATGTACATCTGAAGTACACAAAAAAGATCCAGCACATACAATAATTGCTAGCAAATGTTGCTACATCTTAAATCCAAATGGGTTTATAGCATTACGTTCTTTAGGATGCATGTGTGTGTGTGTCTGTGTTTACTTTGGCTACAGTGGTTTCCCAGAGTTCACTGCAGACAGTTGCTGTCATCCATAAGTCATCTTTGTAAATTCTCTTCTGGCATAAGGGTGCTAACAAAATGCTTTTTCCTCCTGTAGGATAGCAGAAATGCTGGGGTATCCTTAGCTTAATGAATAGTGGCATGAGGTTGCTCAGATTTTATCTGCCAGTAAATGAGTCTGCTGGGGTTTTTTGGTTGGTGGGTTGGGATTTTTTTAAGCTATGGAAGGATGCTTAGGAACATCATTCTGACTGCTGCTTGACCAAATTTTGTTTGTATTCTGACAGATTCCAGTTCACACTGAGTCAGCACTGAGCTTCAATTTAAGGCAATAGGAGGAAATTTTCTAAGACTTGTGTATTAATGACCCTGCAGGCAAGAGTTCTTTGCCTGTTTGTCCAAGGACACCTATGTGCCAGTCTGTCCTGTGGAAAGCTACCAGCAGTGTCACAGTGATGGAGCAGCTTTAATTTCAATGTGTAGGAGAACCCTTTCAGTCATCCCCCACTGTTCCCAGGAACAGGTATCGTCAGTTTACATGTGAATGGCCCAAAGTTCAGGGTCTGTGTGTTTTCTCCAAAGGAGCTCTGGCTAAAAAGGAGCTTTGCAGTGAAGGAGCTGGGGTCCTGAAGGGAGGGCAATGAGTGGATGTGGGGCAGCAGTGTGTCCTTACAGCAACAAAGGCCAGCAGCACGCTTTGCTGGATTAGCAGTGCAGATGTCAGGCTGAGGGATTTGGTTCTTCCCCACTATTCACCTCGTGTGAGACTGCATCAGAAGTACTGCTGTCCTGTCCTGGGCTCCTGAGGGCAAGAAGGGTGTGGGTGTAGCAGGTGTAAGCCCAGTAAGGGGCAGTGGAGGTGGATGGAGGCTGGAGCACACAACCTTGGAGGAGAAGCTGAGAGAGCAGAGCTTGTTCAGATCAGAAGCTGTGGGGACTGGAGACATTAATGCTGGGAGGTTACAGAGGAGTCGGAGACAGACCATCCTCCAAGGCGCATGGTGATAGAACGAGAACCAACAAACAAATTGCAGCGTGGGAAATTCCAGTTAGTTAGGAGGAACAGATTTTTCACCGTGAATGTGCCAGATGTTGGAACAGGGGCCCAGACAGGCTGTGAAATCTCTGTTCTTGGAGGTATTCAGAACTTAAATGGACAAACCCTAGCCAGCTGATCCAAGTTGGCCCTGCTGGGGCATTGGGGAAGAAGCCTCCAGAGGTTCCTTCCAACCTAAATCACGCTGTGGTGCTGTAATTTAGAATTAAGAGCTGCTTGCAATATAGACAGGATCTTTTTAACAGTATAACAGTTTCACTGTTCCAGTTAATAGGTAGTATGTCAGGTTTTTTGCCTTGGCAGACAAGGTGGAGTAAGATCAATCTGCTTGTTTCTGGAAGCCTTTTGTATGTGGTGTTGGTTTTAGCAGTTGGTATTCTCAGTACAGAATGCAGCATCAAGACCGTTTAACAGAGAGTTTATAGCCAATCAGTGGCATTGTCTGGCCCATAATGAAGTTTTGTCTCCCTCGCAATTGCTTTCCTCAGTCAAAAGAATCCTGTCTCAAGTGCCTGATGTTCCCTAAATATCACATAAAGTCACTCTGCAGAACACTGTGCCTTGGAGAAGCAAACACCAGCAGTTGCCAAAGCCACTGGTATTAGGTTGCCCTCCTATGCAGGAGACCATCTTGCATGTTGTATTCCTCGCCCTAGGGTAGGCGAAGTTCCACGCTGTGTGTGCATCTGGTGCTTTGCAAGGGTAGTTCATGGAACAATTGGACCTAATCTGGAGTAGCAAAACATGACCAAGTGGCTGTGAGATAACATTTGGGCAGCAGCTTATGAAAGAAAGCTCTCTGGTCACAGTGCTTTCCTTACTGCTTGACAGACTGATTAATCCACATTTGCTGATCAGCAGATCAGGCAGTCATTTGCTTCCTCTTCGTGTCCTCCAGAAAAAGGAGCTTTCCAAAGAGAAAGGGCAGAAAAACAAAGAAATGGACATCAGTGATTTGGCATCCTGTCTTTTCTGACATGAGTATATAGATTTGCTGACTGCAGAAATGTCAAGGTGTTTCTCCTAGGTTAGGGCAAGAAAGCCAAATGGAAATAAACCCCTGGATGGAGTTAGGAACTTCTCTGGTGCTGAGTTTTGGGCTACTTGTTGTGCATTTGGCAGTGCTGAATCTAGAATGAGGAATACTGCCTTCCCATGCTCCCTGGCATATTTTTTTTTCCCCCGAGATTGCCTGCGAAGTGGCCAGTTCATTCCTCATTCTTTGACTAACCCTGCTTTTCTGTGGTTGCATGCAGTGGAGATGTAATACTAACACCTTCCATGCCTTTCCAGGGTCTCAATGCACCGGCCTGTTTAGCACCACTGTGCTGGGAGGCTCCTCCAGTGCCCCCAACCTCCAGGACTACGCACGCAGCCATGGCAAAAAGTTTGCCAGCAGCCTGACATACAAAGACGGTATGTGTGTTTCCTGTGCAGCAGGTGGTTAATTTGTGGACTTTGGTGTCTCAGGATGCTATGAGACAAAGATTTAGACTGCTGAGAAGAATGACAGTTGAATGTGTATATTTGCTGCGTCTGCAGTCACGCATTTTATTGTATCCCAAGAAATTACGATTCTCGTTAGGACAAGACAGGAGCTGACACTCTGTGAGGAGTTTTATGCTGATGGACAGCATTGCTGGGGTCTGATTTTGGTCTGACACTTTGATATTGCTTGCTGTTGGGGAGGAGGATTTATTGGCCTAGATAGGTTTGTCTTGGTATGGAAACCCAGCACATCACATCATCTTGCTCACCTTAGTGATCTTGCTAATGCTAAAGGAAGCTTTTGTGGAGACAGTAATCGTCACTCTGCAGAAGATGGAGGTGTCCCAAAGGCAGAATGATTTGCTTGGGGGTAAATGAGATGGGTCCTGGAGTACACAGGAGAGTGTGAGATAACTGTCAGAAAGCAAGTGTAACATGCCTGAGGTAACTGGGATATTTGGGTGAAATACTGCAAAAGGACCGGAAAGTCTGCTTATTGTGCAGTTCTGCAGAAACTGCCTTACAGTTCAGCCAGACAGTCTGGTAAGATGTCTTTGTGTCCTTAGCATATGTTGCCAGATGCACGTGGGTGAAGGGGTGTTGCCAGCTGCAGATTGCTCTGCGGTTAGTACCGATGTGTTACGCCTTGAGGAGCAGAGAGCGTGTTGCTACTTTCAAGGAAATTGGAGCACAGGGAAAGGCTGAGGTATCCTGGAAGAGCTGGAGGGGTGTAACACACGAGTGCAAGTGTCTGTTGCGATCCCGTAAGAAAGGCACTTGGACTCTGTAAGTACTGATTAACATACCGTTTGTTGGAACGCTGAGTTGAGCAGCAGTGAACAAACTGCTCCATGGACAGGATCTGCACAGCATGCTCTGCCCTAGTTGGAAATCCACCTTATGTTGCACTTGGCTTCCCAGCACCGGAATGGATGTAAGATTATCTGCCCTTTCTTTTTCCTTTTTGTGTTAGTTCTAACAAATGGCATTTTAATCGATACTTTACAGAGTCTGAGTGCCTTTCTTGCTGGGATCATAACAAGCACAAGCACTGGTGAATTACAAGGTGGGGAGATGATTAAGGACAGTAATTTGGGGCCTTTGAGGAAGACAGGAGTTTGGTTCATTTGGATTTTTGTCCAGTTATAAAGCAAGGAAAATGGCCGAGCAAATCAGGGTGGAAAGATGCTCTCCAGTTCTCAGACCTGCTGGAATTTCCTGAATGCTGTTGTATTGAGACCATGGTGTACACCGGCTTTCTGTGCTGCTTTTCACTGTGTAAAAGAGAAAACTGTGTTGCTTCTCACCTCTTCAGGGAGCTCCCTAGCACAGAACCGGCTGCGAGTGATAGAGACAGGGAGGGGGAATGGGTAGGATTTTAAACCCTGCTGTACCGGCCAGAGCTGCTCATGGCAGCAAGTGCTGGCTACTCGTAGGTCCCAAAGCTCATGGTGTTTGGCACAAGCTGGGGGTGTGGATGCCAGGAGAGCTGCTGAAAAGGCCAGCCAGGGCTCCGGCTGCTTTTCTTCCATCACTCTGCAAGCAACATGAATCCGAGGCAGCAGTAATTCTCAGGTGAAAGGATCAAAGCCTGCTTGCTCTGTACCCATCTGGGAGCAGAACAGATTCTGCTCAGTCCTGGTGCTGTGCTGCCTTTCTCTGTAGACTTCTGCAGTAGGAGTATGCCTGCAGCTGCCTACTCACATTCGAGGTGCAGAGTCCTGCATTAACCTAAATTCAGTGGCACGGTCTCTGCATGCTGAGATGCAGTCGTACCCTCAAGTACCTGAAAGGCAGACTTATTTAACTAGTGTGTGACTAACACAGCCTAGAATTATTCATCTTGATGTTACACTTCTTTTTTTCATGTTTCTTAGTGTGCCATGTCACTCTGCTACCAGTGCCTTGCTGCAATATGAGCAATTGTGAGGAAGAAGCAAGGGACTTGGGAAGACAAGTAGGAGGGAGATGGGCATTTAGCTTCTGTGGAGGGTAGTCTGGAATGTGAAATAAGCCCTTGATCTGCATGTTCCTGCTTAAATGAGCACCAATGAAATGCTGCACAATGGCATTTAAACCAAACGTTACTAGAGCTGAATACAGTAAGTGATGCAGCAGCTACCACAGACTCTTGGAGTACGTTTGAATCAAGGCCTTTTTCACAGCTATCAGGCCAATAACGTTTAAAAGCCTTCAGATTCTGTAGCACATCTTTGCATGAACTCTTTGGTATTTTTTCATGGCTGTGATGCTTCAGGGTGTGGTGCATGGCTTATAGCACTTCAGCAAAGGCTGGCTCAAGCGAAGTTAAAATGGCCCTTATTTCTGAAGTGTTTTTTGCTTGGGGCTCAGGAACACTTCAGTGGAAAGTTGTGTCCCAGCCTCAGATTGAGGGAAGGTCCACTGATGGTTGTGATTTCAAAGCTGACTTTGAAGCCAGGGATCCAGTAAGCAATGCTGCAGTGCTCTTTCAGTTGATGTGCTGTAAAGTCAAGGGGGAGATGTGGAGTGGAATGGAGATGGTTACCAGCTGGCTCACTGCAGCTCCAGGACTTGGACACTTCAGAGGGATTGCATGTGAAGGGAAGGTTGTCATGCTCTATTTATTAAGTTTAAAGAAAGAAAAACAACTTTTAGGGCTGATATGCTGACGAAGGAAGTTGCAGCAAGTTGGTTTGAATATTTTATTTGGCCAAGTCAGTGGGTGTAGCTAGAGAAGCACAATGGGGGTGTGGAGCATAAATTCATATGTGTATCTCCAGATCTTGGTGCAGAGGAATAAGTGAACAGACCCCGTTGACTAGGTAGACTGGATGCATAAAAACATGAAAGAGAAATAAAAAACATTTTCTGATATTTCCTAAAATTTTCTAAATAGCAGCAGCAGGTATGATTGCCTGGGGTCTCACATCAAATCCTACCTACAGATGGTCTGATCTAGGCCTGTTTTTGTGCATATAGAGACTAATCCATGTCTTTCTAAAACTCATCTGTTTGCACCCCATTAGGTGTGTAGAATCTGTCCTTGCACTCTCTTTCTGATGTATCATTTCCATGGGAGAGCTTGGCCTGGCCTGGGACATGGCCAGGAGAAGCCTTGGGACCACTCTGACAGGTGTATCCCAAAGCTGCTTCTGTACTGAAATGGTTTGAGCAACAGAACTGTAGAGGCATGAGTTCATAGGCCTTCTGTTTGCTCCCTAATTAGTTTGTTGATTTAGCTTTGAACTCATGAACAGCTCTGTTTAGCTCACCTGAAGAGGGTGTTTTGAGCTGCACTTACCTATGCCAGGGCTTTTCTGTTCCTCTGCAGAACGGTTGTTGTTTCCCTTGGGGACATGTGAACCCTGAGAACTGTCCTCCTGTGATGCTGCTGCTTGCTTGGCCATGTGCTCCTCTGGCTGTGAGCGTGGCCTTGCTGCGTCTGGCACGGGGCTGAGCCTGGGTTGCTCTCAGGACGGCTGGAAGTGTGCTAGGGAGGTATGAGATGCTGTCTGTGATGGAGAGAGTGTGGCTGAGGCCCCTGTAGTGTCAGGGCAGCGCAAGGGAAGTGGGGGGCTGGCAGAGTGCAAGGCAGCCACGAGGTTCAGTCACACCCACAGGCAGAGAGTGCCCAGGGTGCTGCAGCAGTGCCAACAGGAGCATCTGTTAGGGGGGTCAAGAAGGTGAACCTGAAGGGGTAGTTGCAAGCATATGAAGGTCGGGGGATCCTTAGAAGCAGGCTGTTAACCGAGATGATCTGTTTTTATTTCCTCAGAGCTCTTGTCTATGCCAGCCGTAAAACGATTTTCTGTGTCGTTTGCAAAGCATCCGACTAATGGTACGTTTGCTTCCTTGATTTGACGTTCCCTCACACTTCTAACCCCATGCTCACGTTCAGTTCTCTGCACATATTCTCCTTTCAGCCTTCTTGTGGTTTTTTTGTGTCTGTGTATCTGGTGTCCCAACGTGCTTCACTTTCCCCCATTGTCTCCTTGTGACTAACTTCTTCATTCATCCTCTGTTACTGCTCAGCGGTTCCTCTGCTGTCCCCCAAGGTATTTGTGTCCCAGGTGAAAAAGCAAGAGCAGTGCCTCTGTGAATGGACTCCTAAATCAGTCTTTAATTCCACTGCTGACATTACAACCTTCTTTCACGCTCCCTTTTTGGGGGGGTGGGGGTTGGGGGGAGAATACCACTGGCTTTGAGGGGACAGATATCTATCTATATTCTATAAGAATATCTGCAGCTTAGGTCCTCTGTTTCTACAATGCAGATTTGCAGGACCAAAGCAAGGATAGCCTGAGCCTACCCATACGTCACCTGGAAAAGCACAGTCTGAGGTGGGAGGGAAGGAGGTGCTAACAGCATTCCTTCTGTGCATGATATTCCTCAGCACAGTTATCTTATGAGAACTGGTGACCTTATGGCTTCCTATTTGCAAACTTTTCTGTTAGGGTGGTCCCTTGGTTACTCCAGGCATGGTGGTGTTGGTGGGAGTATGCTCACCTTTCCCGCAGATGCTCTCCTAGGAATGGTGTCTCTGCAGAACTGTCACTCATCTGCTATTGGTGGACAATGCTGGCTTGGGCCCGCTGCCCTCCTGAGGTAGGAGGGGATCGGCACCATCCCACCCAGCTTTGCTCCTGTCGTGCTTGTAGCTATGAAGAGGCTTGGTAAAGAAGGACACCTGACAGTGCTGCTGTTGACTCACTGTCTCTGCTTCATATCGCTGCTAACCTAACACCTGAACTGTGAGTCTTCTGAGGTTAAACACCATTAGCTCTGTGGTCGCAGGCTCCTTGAACTAGCGCTTATTATCCAAGTCTTGCACAGAAACTTTGAAAAGGTTTGTTTCCCAGCACCACTCCTACCTCACAGCTCCTGCTGTTGAGACATTAGAACCAAAGCAGATCACTGGAAGATAGCAGGTTACGTATTTCTGTCTTATATGATCAAAACTGCTTCTGCAATCTTGTTGCTTAATAAATATGAAGAAATTCTGCTCTGCATGATCTGGAAGATGGAAGAAGTTCAGAAGACTGTTATGAAGACCAAAGTTTTGGGAAAGATGGAAGGGGAAGGGGCAGCTAAATGTGGCTTTATTGCTTCAAATATCTGAAGGGAACCTATTTTCTGTGTTTGCTCATCTTTGTTTTTCCCAGAGTGGCCAACTGCTCAATATGTTTGTATGTCTGGATATCATCTGACCTCACATGGTGTATGTCAGCAGGATGTGTCATTCTATCTTGCCAGCAAAACTTGTACCAAGCACCAGTCTTTCCTAAGCCACACTGTAAAGCAACTGCCTCCACCCTAAATACAATAAAATGAAACTGGGCATCGGGTTTTTCCCAAAAACCCAATTAATATTTCTAATGGCAAAGTGCTCCTTAATCAAAAAAGTAAAGGCAGAGGTCCAGCAGGCGTGAGCTTGAAGTTAGGCATATTTGGTCTAGGCTTGGCACTGGTTTTAGCAGGAAGGATGTTCAGCCACATGAACCACTTGTCTGAGGATGCTCTGAATCCGGATTTTGTTTCTGAAGAGCTGCCTCTGTATGGTGAAGTGGGATGAGTGAACCAGAGCCATGGCCAAGCAAAGCGTCAGGCCAGCTGCTTTGTACCCTGGTCTTGTGAGTCTTGGGAGTGACATACGAGTCCTGAGGCTGTATACACAGAGGAGGCGATGTGCCTGCATGCTGGTATCTGGCCTGCCATGCAAGGACCTCCCATGTGCCCACTCTTGTTCTTCCACACTCTAAGCACCATGCTCTCAAGTCAAACCCAGCTGTCCCCCAGCATCCCTTTCACAGCCTCCAGTTGTTGATGCTGGGTCACTTGCTCTCTTCCATCTTCCTTGGATGCAGGACTCAAACGCTCTGTTGGCAGTCTGGATTTCTTGTCCCAGCTGGGGGAGTGCAAGTGTGGGCCTGACCTTCTTACCTAGCCAAACCTGAACTGTATTGGACATGGAATGTGTCCTAAAATTTACTGGCTCGTCAGACTTTCACTTACCAAGATGAAAATGTGGCTGCTCAGGGGCTGCCCCTGCGCTGCAGCCTTGGCAAAGGCTGGGCTGGGCGGGAGGCTGGGCTGCTGCAGGGTGACTGGGGGTGTGTAGATCTAAGGGTGTTCCTGACCTGCTCGCTGCGGGAGGAACTGGGCTTCCGTGTGCAGGGTGGGTCTTTCCCACCCAGCAGCCCTGGTGCTGGCAGCTCCATCCCCACCTCTCCACAATTTCTCTGTCCCCAGCTGCACCTGCCCCTCTCCTCTCACTCTCTATGGCCCCCTTTCCTCCAGATGCGTTTGAGCACCGCCACGTTGCCCAGTTGCTGCGCCGTTTTTCCTCTGACTATGCCACGAGCCGGAACGTCTCCGTGGATGCCACTCTAGCCCATCACCTCCAGCAGTGCTCCTACCACCTACGCCTCTTCAGGAGCTGGCTGATCTCAGGGCAGGATGACTTGGAGTGTCTTTACGGTACTGCACGCTGCAGCTGCCTTGGTCCTGCGCTCTTGTAGCTGAGCAGGGACCACTGCTTGAGAATGCAAAGTATGCTTTGCTTCTAAAAAGGAAAGCATTTCCCTCGCCGCATCCCTTAAATCTCTGGGCTGCTGCTGCAGCAAGCTGTGTGGGCTGTTGCACCTGGCAGCTTGGGAGCCTTAGGCAGTAGCCTTTCCACATGAAGCTGGTGCTCTTCGTGTGGCTGTAACCGTGCTCTTTTCATCTTTGGCAATTGTTGGTTGCCTCCTTCCTTTAGCCACGGTAAGCCCTTAAGCTTCCTTCAGGTTAGATGCTGAGCTCCTACCAGTGTGATTCCCTGCTGACATGATACCCCTGTGCAGGTCTCAGTGGGGTGCCAGGAGGTGTCCCATTATTAATAGAGGAACCAAAGTGAGTAGTAAGAGTATGGGAAGAGAGAAGATTAAGGCAGCGTTGCAGCCGGGTCACATGCAGAGTGAACTTGCTGTGGAAATTCTGGGGAAGTGAGTGCTTGTGGAATTGTGTTGTTTCTAGAGAGACCAAGTTAAGATAGGGCAGAAATTGAGCTTCTGTGTGGCTGCATTGCATGGCATCTGTTCTGCCTGGGGGACCTTTGCAGCGTGTCATGTCTCTGGTGGGAAGAGGTATGTGATTTCAGTATTGAATCTAGATGTTATAAATCAAAGCTTGCTACTGTTCCTGTGATGTGTGTCAGCCTCCAGCACAGATGGGAAGTCTGATGCATTGAGGTCTTAGTGCTTCTAAGACGAGTGGAAAGGTTCCCCTCTGAGAGGGGCAGCTAGCGAGGGCTGGCTGTTAATGTTTACCTTTCACCATATGACCTGCTTGGTGCATGTGGCTTGCTGAGCTGTGTGGTGTGATGCATGAACCTCCTTTTTCATTCAGACCCATAGGTGGAAGGGGCAGAGACAGTATAGCTTTCCATGTAGTGAAGCAACAGGATCAAGCATTTTCAGAGCCTGGAAAGGAGACTTTTTCTTACACAGTCTGTTTTTTCTTGATACGGCACTTTCTGTCAAGTAGGCAATTTGAAGACAGCAGTTACTTTTCATATATAATTAGGACAATCCTTGGTCTCCTAGCAACAAATACTAAAGAGAAGCAAAATTGCTTCAAGGGAAGAAATGTTTGAACACAGCAGACTGCTCCAAAGCCAGAGCTGAGCTTCTCCTGCTGCA